GTCGTGATGACATCTCGTACTCTTGCCAACGACAACTCGTGTGGAGCAGGATTCACCAGCTGGATTATTAGCACCGAGCGGAAGAACTCGTAGTACATTATGTGTGGTCAAATTGTGAAGACGACGTCCTCAAGAGGAGAAGCCGGGTTTGTGTTGATCCCAAGAACTCCCTCAGACGAGTAGTAATCTTTCCCGGAGATTGGAAGCTTGGCCACCTGCGTAATCTCTTAACTCAGGAACAAAGTGTGCCATCGCCCCCGTCACCACTGCGGACACCAGCTTTGCTCCCGGGAAGAGCAAGGAAAGAATTCCAGACCACGATTCTCTGCTGCAAATCTTGGCGATGACGTCGGCGGTACCGGCAAGATTCTCTTTGTTAACCAAAAAAGTCGCGAAAGCTTCCTGGAGCTTTGGGTGTGTGACTTTACCGCTGCTCAAGCTGCCAGTTCTTATGTCTTTGCAAATATCCTGCCAATCACTCTGGAGGATCTTCAGAGCCTCGGAGATGATGTAGGCAAAACTCGCATCGATCTGTTCCACCGCGTCTCGCTGGATCAAAGCACACAGCAAGTGGCAGTACGTCAGCTCTCGCCAGTTTGATCCCGAGATGATCATTTCGTACGGAGTGGTGAACTTGTTAAACGGTCCTCTGTAGGTCTTGATCAAGTAAGTGGTGAGAGCTCCCACCCAGATGCCCGCCTTGGTATGAAATTGATCAACACAGTAGTATAAACCGAGCACTCTTCCACTTCCAAGCTCTGGGAAACATCTGAAAAATCTCCACATTGAACCCACATCGAACAAGGTTAGCAAACTACCTTGTTATGTAAGCATTGGAAATTTCCGCTGCCCTCCTTAAGGCGGAGATATTCTCAGCAGTGACTGGAATAATCTTACCCTTCCCAGACGATGTCCCGGAGCTGGAAGTAGAAGATTCTCACACAAATAAAGAATGGGAGAAATTCTTACCTCGCGAAGAAGCAAAGAACTGGGTCGTGACAAAGAATTGGGCCCTCTTCCCCGCAAGCAATCTTTTCAATCACTCCGGCAACATCCTCGTAGGATACGATTGGAACCTGGGACTTATAAGCAGCCAGACTTTGGGGGCTCCCAAACTTCTGGAGATAATGGGTGCTTGCATTCTTGCGGAGAATGCCGCCCAGCAACTCCTCTTGGATCGAAGCTCCATTCTCACAAGCTCGCTCAAACTCGGCAATGCTCGCCATTTGAAACTTTATGATAAGAAGAGAACAATTTAAAGCGCTACGTCAAAGAACTGGTGCGCCAGCTCTGCCATTGTTAACATCAAGAAGTTCAAGGGGCAATGGACTTCTGTGGATGCTTTTCCAGGTATATTCTAGGAATCTCATGGTCATGTCGATGCACTGCCTTGTGGAAAGCTTGGCTCCCAGCTCTCGAACACAATCTCCCCACTCTTGTAGCTCTGGACGCTAGAACTTCCAGCATTCTTGGAGAGGTCACACACCTTGGAGTTTTATACTGCGCTGGCGATGTTCCATTCCGCTTCCTCCATCAGCCTCGCAAACGTCCCTTCCTTGACAATCACCAGCTCCAGCGAGTCGATCACTCCATCCAGCCTCTTTCCAGTGTATCCCGGATTGAAAGACCTGTCTATGCTCGAGCAGCATTTCTCCCAGAGCTCTCTCCTGATCTCTTCTCTGAGTTTGCCGAGGAACTCCATGGAAGAAACTCGATACTTTCACCACGTCCCCCGGTATCGATATAATCCTGAGAAAAAAAAGAAAGAAAAAAAAGTTGAAAACGATAGAAACTAAGACCTGCGAAGTTTGTGATGACGATCTCGTACTCTTGCCCAGTGACAACCTCGTGTCAAGCGAGGATTTCACCTCGTGACAAAGAACTGGCCCTCCCGGACGCAATCCTTTTAATCTCTCCTGCGACATCCTCATAGGTTAAGATTGGGAATTTGGGGGCTCCCAAACTTCTGGAGATAATGGGCGCTTCCTTTCTTCCGCTCCCCAGTAGCTCCTCCTGGACCGAAGCTCCATTCTTCGGAAGTTCTTCCCAACGTTCGCCATCGTGTATTAAACTGATAAACGTGACACGAATAGCTTTCTATTTCACCGAAGAGGACAATTTTAGATTCCCAAGAAACTTTATTCCATTCAAATATTGGAAATCAGTGGTTTGTTCCTAGAAATCCCAGCCTCGCTGCCGTATCAAAGGCGTCATCCACCACAACATACGCAAACTTGTCCTTCCCCTGTATACATGTCCGAACGCTCTTGACCCGGGACAATCCGTACTGCTCCATCACAGCCCGCTTGATCTCAGCCTTGTTCGCACCAATACTCACTAGAAAACCAAGAGTATTTCTCTTCGCGGCATCCTCGAAGCTCACCACCGGGCACTGAATCACGAACCCCATGTCTGATTAGTTTAGGGTTTTGACACCTGGACCAAGACTCCACCCGCGCATCGGATCCGGCAGCTCCACCTTCGCCCTCAACGGTGGCACCATTCTCGCCACCTTTCCAGTACCTCAAGCGCGTCGTGCTGCCAACTTTAGCAAGGTTTGTCGCGCTGTGGAGGTGTGCGAGGAGAGGCAGGGTCATGCCCGCCGGGAGTGGGGCGCGTACCTGCACGGGGCCGTCACGAAGTGTACGGCATACGTGTCCGGGGCGTGTAGCGTTCGAGGCTGAGGTTCCAAAGAGATCCAGGGCTGCCAGAAGCTGGCGTTGGCGATGGAGAGCGAGTTTTCGCGAGAGCAAGTGTCGAATGCAGGTGGTGCTTGATGCAGAGACGAGCAATGGGCACTGGCTTGGAGCGTCGGTGCTGACGGGCAGGAAGCGGAGCTTCAGGAAGGGATGGTGGCAGCAGCACTGGCGAAGATGGTGGAGCAGCTTGAGGGGAGATCTGCATGGACGAGTTTTTGCAGGATCAAGTAATTATCTTCGTGGTGCTGGCGAGAGGGAGGTTGAGGATGAAGTGTGGAGAAATCTCGCTCCACACAAGGACCGCCATTCATTTTGCAAGCCACTTGAGTAGGCCGGTGTTTGAGATCCAAGAACTTAATATTTGAATGGAATAAAGTTTCTTGGGAATCCGAGTTCTTTAAAATTGTCCTCTTCGGTGGGAGCAGTACGGATTATCCCGGGTCAAGAGCGTTCGGACATGTATACAGAGGAAGGACAAGTTTGCGTATGTTGTGGTGGATGACGCCTTTGATACGGCAGCGAGGCTGGGATTTCTAGGAACAAACCACTGATTTCCGGAGGAGGAACCTCTCCTGATGGCATATCATGTTTATAATTTTCCACAAATTCCAATTCAAGCTAACTTATAGAGGTGTTTTTACTCAAAGTTCGCTGTGATTACCGGAAAAAATATATGTTTGACTTACCTTTTTTATTACCACCAATGTAATGTATTACATGTTTTAAATCATGTAAAACAAAGAGAAAAGCCTAGTCTCTGACCAACAAGTTGGGAGGACAAAAAGAACTTTTAAAATATTTAATCAGCAAACAATTTGCACTCAATTGAAAGGGTCTTAATTTTGCATAATATATATGAATGATGTGGTGGCCAAAAGTGATTTTTGGTTTTTAAACATATTCTGATCACATTTCAATTGCTATGCGATGCCATGTGTTAAATATAGAAGGCTATAAAAAGGCCATTGCCATATTAGAAAGGGTAAAGTGGAAATGTTACGAGGGTTTTTAATTAAAGCGAAAACAGTTGTATAAGCATCATCAATTGCAAGCAACACTAGTATGAGGTTTTTTTCATGAGCTTATCCCCATAGGTGTTGCGGTACATTTGATCCCTATTGTATGTGTAGGTTTTGAGGAGTTTGAGGGAAAAGATTGATTGGTGGGTGAAGACTAATTGTGCAAACACCAGTGCAAGAATTTGTTCATAATGTCTCCATTGTGGATGTTGTGGTAAGGTATGTGATTTTTTCTCTCAATTTAGGCATCATAATTTATCATGCGTGTGCAGGTTTCAAAAAGTAGAAGGGTGAGTATTGATTATAAATACAATTCTTTATTCAAAATATGCATTATATGTAAGTAAGAAATGACAATCAACTAGCTTGTCATTATAGGAGATTAGCTATGAACTTTATAGCATTTAGTAGGCATTTAGCTTTGGCACAAAAGTGAGTTAACACAATGTTCCCATCTTGATATAAATATATCCTACTCTTCACATTTATTACTTGAAGTAGTGGAGCATAAGGAGAAAACATAATGTGCCTACTACCATGATAAAGCTATATAGTCTTTGTAGCCATTGTTAAATAAAATGCATAAATCAAGATACTCATTGGAGACTTATATTTTTTAGATTTAAAACATTTCATACAAGTATAGGCTTCTCTTGGCTCCAAATTCATGGGTTTTATGTCCTTGGCTTTGAGTTCATAAGCTTTGTATCCATGTTCAAACTTGTTTTCCCCTTGGTTGTACTTTGTGTATTGCATATTTGTCAGTAATCAGTTATAAGACTTTGAGGGGCCAACAAAATAAGCTACATGAGGCAAAATGCATAAGAAATAAAAGCATATTCATAAAGGTTTACATAATGTTCTTAATCCTTACAGTGAAGATGCAGCTCAATTGCTTATGCACAATTGTGTTACTCTACATAGTATGCAACGAGTGTAGGGATGCACTGATACAGTGGCTTGCTTTTGAGAAGGACCTGCCCCATGCATGTGGGAGCCATTGAACACCATGCAAATGTGGTATGGATAGCTGGTGCATTTCCATTGGTGATGCCAGGTAGAATAAAGCTTTGCAAGGATGTGGAAGTTAGTATATGGTATTGAGAGACCCTTGAGTTGTCATTAAGTTTATTATGCATTGCGTTCTCTTCTTGGAGATGGAGGTGGTCACCAATGCTTTACATGCATGGTCCATCATGTTACAGACACCAACTTTGACAACATCACGGAAGAAATATCTGTCTCAGCACTTCAATAGGTGAGCAAATTCGCCAAACCACTCATAAATTCCTTTCAAGCTTTTAGTGGTAGAAATATGTGATTTACTAATAAAGAGTGGCTGCATGCCTAAATTTAGGAAGTTCTAGCAGACGTTTTCGAGGCTGTGGTGATGGCGATAACTTACCCTAGATTTACACATGCTTCATTACTTTGCAATGGGTATAAAGTCCCTCAGTGGCAAGTAACAAGTTTGTATCCAAGTATTCCACCACAAGTATGGGTAAGTGGGTTACTGAAAATCCCACAAGACTAGATATGGGATTTTTGGCAAAAAGTTTCTACATGAGAGTGACCAACCTCCATGCTAAGAGTTTGCTAGAGGAAGCCCTATAATAGATGGGAACTTCAGTTGAAAAATACAACTGCAGTACCAACAAGCTAAAGATCTCTACATGGTGGTACATTGCATTGTTTCTCATTCAGAATTTTCTTTTGGTTTAACCAGATGTGCTAAGATTCATAATGTCTTGTGACGTGAAATTGGGACAGGATCTTTTTTCTAATGGGATCTTGTTGATAGTGGGGAAGATAATGGAATAGACATAGCAACTCCACCTAAAGAGCTCAATCTTTTCTGCAGCAATGTTCTTGTTGATGCAATTTTTAAGAAGATTAGCCATCTTAGCTGTGGCGGTGGATTCGCAATTGTCACAACTAAATCTCCTCCAGCTTCAATGATTCAAATCAAGTTTTAATAGTTGTATTCTGTTGTACCTTTGAAAACTTCAAGGGCTGAACAAAACAAGTTAAGAACTGATGAAATTGGCCCAATGTATGTATTGACTATGATTTTGCTACCTTAACTATGTTTGTTCTTAGAAATCTCAGCCAGTTGCTTGATACAAAATCAGGTGAGGGGCACATCGACTTCTGTTGGAAACAAATGTGGATGCTTTTTCAGGTATATTCTAGGCACCTCACCCTTGTGGAAAGCTTGGCTCCCAGCTCTCGAACACAGATCTAGGCATCTCCCCACTCTTGTAGCTCTGGACGCGTCCAGACTCTAGAACTTCCAGCATTCTTGGAGAGGTCACACACCTTGGAGTTTTATACTGCGCTGGCGATGTTCCATTCCTCACAGCTTCCTCCATCAGCCTCTCAAACGTCCCTTCCTTGACAATCACCAGCTCCAGCGAGTCGATCACTTCATCCAGCCTCTTTCCAGTGTATCCCGGATTGAAAGACCTGTCTATACTCGAGCAGCATCTCTCCAAGAGCTCTCTGTTGATCCCTTCTCTGCGTTTGAGCTCCCAGAAGATCACGTAATGCGCAGGAACAGCGGTGGAATTGCCATAGGCTGTGAAGTTCGCCACCTCGATCCCTGCATCTTTTGATACTTCCATCACCACATTTTGGAGCTCTTGCTCGTCGACCATCTCATTTTGGACGCTCAGAACCGCGTTCTTGCGGTAGCTGAAAGCCAGCTGAGGAACTCCATGGAAAAAACTCGATACTTTCACCACGTCCCCGACTCGGTATCGATATAATCCTTAAAGAAAAGAGAACACCTCGGATGAGAAATTTGCAAGAAAAGATAGAAGATGGCAAACCTGCGAAGGTCGTGATGACGATCTCGTACTCTTGCCCAACGACAACCTCGTGTGGAGCCAGGATTTCACCAGCTGGATTATTAGCACCGAGCGGAAGAAACTCGTAGTACATTATGTGTGGTAAAATTGTGAAGACGACGTCCTCAAGAGGAGAAGCCGGGTTTGTGTTGATCCCAAGAACTCCCTCAGACGAGTAGTAATCTTTTCCGGAGATTGGAAGCTTGCCACCTGCGTAATCTCTTAACTCAGGAACAAAGTGTGCCATCGCCCCCGTCACCACTGCGGACACCAGCTTTGCTCCCGGGAAGAGCAAGGAAAGAATTCCAGACCACGATTCTCTGCTGCAAATCTTGGCGATGGCGTCGGCGGTTCCGGCAATATTCTCTTTGTTAACCAAAAAATTCGCGAAAGCTTCCTGGAGCTTTGGGTGTGTGACTTTACCGCTGCTCAAGCTGCCAGTTCTTATGTCGTTGCAAATATCCTGCCAATCACTCTGGAGGATCTTCAGAGCCCCGCAGATGATGTAGGCAAAACTCGCATCGATCTGTTCCACCGCGTCTCGCTGGATCAAAGCACACAGCAAGTGGCAGTACGTCAGCTCTCGCCAGTTTGATCCCGAGATGATCATTTCGTACGGAGTGGTGAACTTGTTAAACGGTCCTCTGTAGGTCTTGATCAAGTAAGTGGTGAGAGCTCCCACCCAGATACCCGCCTTGGTATGAGATTGATGACCGCAGTAGTATAAACCGAGCACTCTTCCACTTCCAAGCTCCGGGAAATCTGAAAGATCTCCACATTGAACCCACATCGAACAATCGATAGGTTAGCAAACTACCTTGCTATGTAAGCATTGGAAATTTCCGCTGCCCTCATTAAGGCGGAGATATTCTCAGCAGTGACTGGAATAATCTTACCCTTCCCAGACGATGTTGGAAGTAGAAGATTCTCACACAAATAAAGAATGGGAGAAATTCTTACCTCGCGAAGAAGCAAAGAACTTGGTCGTGACAAAGAATTGGGCCCTCTTCCCCGCAAGCAATCTTTTCAATCACTCCGGCAACATCCTCGTAGGATACGATTGGAACCTGGGACTTATAAGCAGCCAGACTTTGGGGGCTCCCAAACTTCTGGAGATAATGGGTCTTGCGGAGAATGCCGCCCAGCAACTCCTCCTGGATCGAAGCTCCATTCTCACAAGCTTGCTCAAACTCGGCAATGCTCGCCATTTGAAACTTTATGATAAGAAGAGAACAATTTAAAGCGCTACGTCAAAGAACTGGTGCGCCAGCTTGTTAACATCAAGAAGTTCAAGGGGCAATGGACTTCTGTACAAACATAATATAATCCGTGTGGATGCTTTTCCAGGTATATTCTAGGAATCTCATGGTCATGTCGATGCACTGCCTTGTGGAAAGCTTGGCTCCCAGCTCTCGAACACAATCTCCCCACTCTGGTAGCTCTGGACGCTAGAACTTCCAGCATTCTTGGAGAGGTCACACACCTTGGAGTTTTGTACTGCGCTGGCGATGTTCCATTCCTCACAGCTTCCTCCATCAGCCTCTCAAACGTCCCTTGACAATCACCAGCTCCAGCGAGTCGTACATCCAAGAGAGAACAAATAAAGATCCAAATCATCAGCATTTAATATGAGACACATGCTAAGGTAAAACTCTTTTTATATTACTTATAAAAAGGAAATACAAGTAGATTGCATAGATTTCAATACGTGGGTTCAAAAGGGCATGAAAAAGCCTGTTGGATATAATAAAGATCCAACTCATAGTTCACAGGTGCACCAGCTGGTGGAACGCCCACTGCTCCACCTCCAGGAGGAACAAATGTCGTAAAAATTTGCACCGCCGGAAACCGCAGGATATAAGGCCTCACTCCAGGACCATTTAAAGCAATCCCACCATGTCCAACCCCTGTGAGAATCGGAGAATTTCTCCAGGTTGCATTTGGGCCCAAAGGGCAAGTCCCAAATGAGACAAGCCGGATGGGCATTGGTCCCCCGCCCCCTGCTCCAGCTCCAGCTCCGGCCGCCCCTCCCCCAGCTCCTGCCGCCCCTCCGCCAGCTCCTGGCCTTTCATAGACCGAAGCCAACATAGCGATAGTTCCATTAGCTCTCTCGTTGAACCTTTTGAGACCGATATAGAGCTCGCAGCGAGGATAGTCTGGTCCAAGGAAGATCGCAGCTCGCTCGTGAAGATTCTTGGGTGTCTGGGATGTTGCGATCTCGATGACGATAGCCCCATATGTCCTCAAAGCCGCGACACCGGGAGGTAGAATAGAGCTTTGACCACGAACTTGCACTGTTACGTCCGGCTCGTAAAGATCCCCCCCGATATCCGGTTTATAAGTAACAGCCGTCGCCACCACGAGCAATCCACTTGCTTGTGCATCAAAAGCAACTCCCACCTTCAACTGAGCTTGCCCATGGGGGTTATGCGGGAGTTCCCTTGCGATGATCTTTCCTCCGATGAAGTCACAGAGGAACTTCCTGTTTCCCGATGCCCACCTGAAAGCATCGACGGTAGAAGCATTGACGGTTAGAAGCATTCTTGGTTGCTCACCTGGAGAAAGCTTCAGCGTTGGGAGCTGTTCCGATGATCAAGTCGCTTGGGCTGTAGAGCTCTTGATTTTCCTCCTCGCCTGTGAGCAAGGCAAGCCGAACGAGCTTCTGCTCGACAGCTCTTGTCGCGCGCTCGTCGATCCTGACTCGACGTGGAGTAACGACGACGCTCTCATTTCCTGCTTCACAACAAAAAATCGCAGCCATGAGGGGAGAAAAAGAGGGCAATCGGGGAGGAAAGAAAGAGGGCAATCGGGGAGGAAAGAAAGAGGGCACTCACACAGCATCGAGCCTTCTCGCGCTTCTCCTTGCTCTCCCACGCTTAACAGTCGTTTTCTCGTTCGCGCCCTAGAACAAACCGCACAGCGTATATATCACGACCAAATATGAAACGCGATCAAGATATGTAATGTGAAAAGGGATGGATTATAACATTCCCGTATCCGCCACGTGGCGCACGAGTTTAGAGTATTCCTGTACGGTTGATGACGCGGCAAAGCGCCAAAACCAATAAAAAATTTTGAGATAGCGTGGCGTTGAGATTTCTAATACTTTTTAAAATGTTGTAAGAAGGGCCGTTCGAGCTCATCCCACGGCCCAGATCCGTGCGGTGATTTTTAATTTTTTCACCTACCCTGGCTTGCATTACCATTACCACAGTAGATGGAAAGCAAATATTTACCGCGGGTGTGGGGCATTTGTGCGTTGCTGTGCTTATTGCGCGCATATGCCCTTGCCTGCATTGCGCGGAGGTTAAGATTCGCCCATGGATCAAGGGATATGCTAATTTCAAATTAGGAGTAAGATATTTCGTTGTTATAATAAATGTAAATTGTTTAACGACCGAGCAAAAATGAGCCTCAAGAAACAATCCTGCTGTGGGAAAAACCAACCTCTTTTTTTTTACTTTATGAGGAGGATGCGTGCTTCGAAACCCATTCCACCAAGGTCCCCACAGCGAATCCAGTCGCCATTTTCTTCTTCTCGTTCCACACGGGTCCAGCGATGTCGAGATGAGCCCAAGGAATTTTCTCATCGACAAACTGTCCATCCATCAAGAATGGAAGAGATTAGAAGTTCTTCCACAAGAACAAAACGAAAGGGGTACCTGTTTCAAGAAGAGCGACGCCGTTATGGATCCGCCAGGACGTCCACCCGTGTTCACCATGTCCGCGATTCCCGACTTCATCATCTATCCGCCATAGCTTCTCTCCGGCGGCGCTTGACGCTTGGGACAGTTCCTCCGCGAGTTCGTCGCTGGGAGTAAACATGCCTGTTTTGCCATGGAGTTAGAAAAACAATTCTAAGAGAGGACGATACCTCCAATCTCGTTGCCCAACGCGATCTGTCAAGGTTGCCAAATCCACGATCTGTTTTTGCAAAGAAGTTTAGCTCAGGTACTTGCTAGCTGCAAAGAGGTAGCTTTGAGTCCGCAGGATTGATTCCTGTGCATCTGACGTAAAGAACGAACACCACAAGTGCCTGCAAAGTTAACGAAATTGAGCGCTTAACAAATTCCAAGAGTGAGAAATTGCGAAGAAAGACTCACCAAGACTCATCGAGTAACACCCAATTACGATATACTGCCACGGATTGGCCCAATAAAGCGCA